ATTTGTCTATATATTTATTTGTGTGTGTGTTCTACACTTCTATATAAGTTAAACGCACACTCACATACACACACACACACACACGCACTCACGCACGCACGCACGCACACACGCACGCACGCACGCACGCACGCACACACGTAAGCACACACACACACACACACACACACACACACACACACACACACACACACACACACACACACGCACGCACGCACACACACACACACACACACACACACACACACACACACACACACACACACACACACACACACGCACACACACACACACACACACACACACACACACACACACACACACACAGATGAATAGATGAATAAATTAATATATGGTAAGACATATAACCACATACACGGATAGATATATGGTTTCCGGAGTCTTTGTCCCTTTCATATTTCCCGCCAAGAAAGTTGACGCATTTCGGCTTTTCGAAATTCCAAAATTGGTTGAAATGATATGCCGGTATTTCCGCCCATGTTATGTATCTATTGATTATAACCATGAAGAGAAAAAAATAGATTCAACTTAACAACACTTTATTTTTTGAAAACCCAATTCACCGGTATTTTTTTTTCTCTTTTCTGTATACCTTTGATAAAATATCAATGAATGACATTCAAACATTATTTTAAAGAAATAACTACAAGCATAGGGAAATTACTCACCATGTAACATTAAACCAAATAAATATTTCCATAAAGACAGACAAAAAAGAAGAAGAAAAAAATACACATTTCTTTTCATAGAGAGAGAGAAAAAAAAATATATATATATATTATTCCTCAAAAATTTTCAAAACCACCTCCTTACACCACATGTCATCCCCTTAAACTTCGAGAAAACGAATGACACATTATAATAATGACAACACATAAAAAAGATGACATACACGACTACACAAAACACAAATAAACCGAAAGAACAGAAAGACGAAATAACAGAAAGACGAAAGAACAGAAAGACGAAAGAACAGAAAGACGAAAGAACAGAAAGACGAAAGAACAGAAAGAGATATATATAACATAGATACAAAATAAGAAAAGAGATATAAAAGAGATAAAAAATAAAAGAGATATAAAAGAGATATAAAATAACAAAAAGATATATATACCGCCTCCCTCCAGAACACATGTCAGTCACACTCGGAGTCGGAGGCGGACGGGACGGCGGAATTTCTTTTGCCTCTCCAATTCCCTTTTTTTTCGCCCTTTGACCTCTTGCAATGGCCTCCTGACTCGCCCGACGATGGATTTAGGTGAGGACTGTACACTGCCGGTCTGCTTTGGAGGAATTAATGCCGAGAAAAGAGCCAAAAACGGGAGAGATATGGATGTTATTTTTTTGTTGTTGTTTTTTTTTTTTGTTTCTTTTTCCCCACTTGTGTCTTATCTATTTAAAGTTTTATTTTATTTTGTTTATCTGTTTGGTTTTTTATTCCGTTTTGTGTCGTTATTCCTTCTTTGGGAGAGAAAAAGCCCTTCATTGTTTTCTTGGGTTTTGTCATTGGTAATTAGGCCCCTATTTCGAGATTTTTTTCTTTTTTTTTCTTTTTTTTTTCTTTCATTTTTTTCTGGTTAGTTGGGATGGTTGAGGTTCATTTCTCGAGCTTTTGTTTCACCCTGGTTTTTATTTAATACTTGGGTCTGTTGTTTGTTTCTTTATTTAGGTGTTAGTTACTGTACATGTGGTTTTGTTTGAGGAGGTGTGGGATTTTTTTAAATATTTTTTTTTGCTTTACATGCAGATAAATTCGTTTTTTTTTTGGTTTTGTTTTGTTTTTTGCTTTACGTGTAGATAAATTCGTTTTTTTTTTCGCTTTATGTGTAGATAAATTCGTTTTTCTTTTTTTACGGAGGAGTCGGCATGTGGAGCGATATTTTTTTGAGTAAACGTTGTGAATTAAGTGCCGAATGCCGAGGTATTTCATCTGTGTTTCTAGCACAAGATGTAGAGTTCTAAACATACTTGATCGTCTTGTTTTTTGGTTTTCTAGTAACGACCCAAAGTTTTTTTTTTTGTTTTGTTTTTTTTGTGTGTGCTTTTGTTCTGTGCCGAAGAACGGTTGTAAATGTAAGAAAATGCAGCTAGGGATATGGCCTTGCGAGTTTCCTCCGTGGATTTGGGTTTCTTTGCTTCGCCGAGGTTATGGGTTTCACTTCCACTGCAAGTTGCAAAGGAAAGGATTTATTCAACGTGAGAAATAACCCGTTCAGTACATGTGTTGCCAGATCATTGCCGTGTCTCTTGTGATTTTGGTGCTCTGGCAAAGGAGGAGACCGCTGCATGTGTTCTGGCAAGGCAAAGCGGGGATGTGTACTTTTCAATAAATTGCCTGGGAGTTCTACGCTAGTCTCGGCTGAAATGAAACGGACAGTTGAAGAAGCAAGTGGAAATGGATCGTAACATAAAGTTGGTTGTTATGTCAGCAATTTGCAACAGGTTTTTAAAGTAACAGTTATGCCAAAAATAATTTTTTTTTGGATATAAGGCTAATTCTTGAACTTAGGGTTTCATCGGCCTGTGTCCTTCATTTGCCATGCGCTCGTGCCTTTGGAGATTTGGACACATAACATCACTTATGACCTGGAACTTTAGTAACTATTTGTATTTATGATTTATATTGCCTGTCTATTTATTTATTTACATATTTATTTATTTGATATTATTATTATTTCTCAAAATTTTCAAGAAACCATATTATAATAATTTTCTGAAACTGTGGTTCCCTTGTTATGTATATCCCTTACCTCAAAGGTTATGGATCTGCACTAGCACTGCAGAGAATATAGTTAAGTGATTGTTTGACTCTGAATGCTGTCTGTGGCCTCCTAGTGAAGTAATCAGATTGTTGCTGAAGACTCAGTCTCTGCCGAAACTTAGGATTTAAAAAGGTGAATAAAAAAAAAAAAAAATGAATACAAAAATTAAATTCAGTGTGTTAAGTGAATGGAGATTATTGTGACAGTTATGAAAAGAAATATTAATGAGAAGGGATATTTACACACAGCAATAAACACAGCTGATTGAACTTCCTTCATTGTAGAAATATTTCTTCTCATCTATATATTTTTTTTTCTTAAATGAAGTATATGGGTGTGGTCAACCTTCCTAGTATATCACATTGAAGGAGAAATAGATTCTTCCATTTATTTATTTATTTTCCTAGTGAAGTAATCAGATTGTTGCTGAAGACTCAGTCTCTGCCGAAACTTAGGATTTAAAAAGGTGAATAAAAAAAAAAAAAAATGAATACAAAAATTAAATTCAGTGTGTTAAGTGAATGGAGATTATTGTGACAGTTATGAAAAGAAATATTAATGAGAAGGGATATTTACACACAGCAATAAACACAGCTGATTGAACTTCCTTCATTGTAGAAATATTTCTTCTCATCTATATATTTTTTTTTCTTAAATGAAGTATATGGGTGTGGTCAACCTTCCTAGTATATCACATTGAAGGAGAAATAGATTCTTCCATTTATTTATTTATTTGATATTATTATTATTTCTCAAAATTTTCAAGAAACCATATTATAATAATTTTCTGAAACTGTGGTTCCCTTGTTATGTATATCCCTTACCTCAAAGGTTATGGATCTGCACTAGCACTGCAGAGAATATAGTTAAGTGATTGTTTGACTCTGAATGCTGTCTGTGGAAATAGATTCTTCCATTTATTTATTTATTTATTTGTTTCTGTATTGTAAAGAGAATAGTAATTATGTAGAATAAGTTCTGCATTGATCTTTAAGAAAACATATGCAATGGTCACAAAGAACATATGAAACACTGAGGTTAATCTTGTAGAGTACAAAAAGTTGAAATTGTTGGTACAAGAAACAATCTGCAGACATGAACGGTAGCCCCCAAATAACAGGAAAAGGTAGCAGAAAGTGCAGCTCACAGTTCTAGCTTGTTAAGCATTCGAAGATATGTTGAGGCCCAGTCATGCCAACTTGGATTGTTGAATCAATTTTGTGACGTGGAGTTGTCTGTCTCAAAAAGAGCAACATTCTTTGTCAGGGGTTTGTATGGTCTTTGTAGCCCCTTTGTTCTTCTAACATTTGTCTCAGGATTAGCCACTCGAGGGAGAAATAAAATTTGTAAAGGGAACTCAAATATGTAATTGCAAGAATATGTACACAGTTATACAAGTATCCCAATGACAAATAATAACAAATAACAAAGAGAGTTCGATCGAGATTTGTAGAACAGTCAGAATACCGCGGTATAGGGCACCGTGGCGTGGGGCACCGTGGCATGGGGCACCGTGGCGTAGGGCACCGGGCTGCTCTCAAGTTCTCTCATGAAATACAAAAAGGATGTAAGCAGTCAAGAAGATCAGAGCTAAGTGAACATCCATGTTGAGGGGTCACCGACATTGCTTCGGTGGCGGGAACTAAATGCCTTTCACACAGACAAACGAACACACACACCAGAAAACAAACAACCAAACGACCAGCCGGCTTCTGAGAGCATCGATTAATGGTGAATCCATCACCATAACCAATTCTGAATAAACAATCCCTTTACATTAATATTATTGATTAGAAAAGAAAAAACAAAGCATAAAGTAGTACCTGTAGCACCTTGCCTAGCCAAGGATAGAGGCAAAGTCATGGGTAGCAGGAAGGTGGATGCTTTTTGAGGGGGAAGAGTCTCCGGAGACCAATGACTTGAAAGATTCAAGTCGAGCACAGCTAACTTTATGAGATGGCACTGTAAATGAGGTGTGGGGCATGATTTGTGGCAAAATGATGGCCAGCCACGGGAGAAGAGTAGTGGAACCCTCACTACATACTTATTCTTGTTTAACATGAACTCGACAATAATGCAGAATGTATTAAAGCTTGTGGGTGACATAGCACCATACTGAGCCACAAAACAGGTGTTGTATGCAGTCAGCTGCTCAGAAGTACAGATAGTCCCCTACTTAAGAACATTGTACTTATGAACATTGCATACATACAAACAAAATTTTTTAAGTACTAAAGTCCAAAAAATAGTTTGAAAGATGCTAGCAAACTTCAAATTTCCCGGGCAAAAATATAGTTCAAGAGTCTGGTACTGTATAAGGTATGTCGTACTTATTGGAATTTATTTACAGGTATTCTTAATGTAAACAAAACCTTAAAACAAAGGGAAAAAAGGTAATGGAGACCCGACTTTCGACATACAAACAAATCAACTTACAAACAGCCTCTCAGTCCCCATTATGTTCTTAAGTTGGGGACTTACTGTATATTCCCTTGATGTCCTTATATATAAGTGTGTGTGTGTGTGTAAATGATAATAATAACAATAATAATGATAATAGTAATAATTGGATCATTAAATCTCATGCCGCTGAAAATATTCATAGAAATACAGATGAAGAGACAAAATATATATACATAAACAACAAACAACAAAAAAAACTAACAATCTACAGGAAAAAATAACAAAAGCAAGAGAAATAAACTAACAAAAGACAAGTGCAAGTACAAGTAAGCTAGGAGTGCTGATCTAGTAATAGTGGACTTGTGCTCGTGGAAGAGGTGCGGAGGGCGGTCCATTGACTAGTGCTCGTTGGACTAGAGTAGGTATTGTGTTCCAGAGGTAGTGGTCAGTACGGGCCCTGATGGGCACCAATTTGTTGGCAGCGCGTTGGTGGGCAGCAGGTTGTAGTGGCGTGGATGACACATCCACTTCAGGCCAAACTGCGGGAAGTCAAGGTGGTCTCTCATTGTGGTGGGCCTTAGACTGTTTCAGTGAGGTGTTAACTATGGATGTAAGAGGAGTGGCAAGTTCCTTTGCAAACCCCTTGATGAGGAGCGTAGGCAGGTCAAGGGAGGTGGTGGCTCTCTTCATGCGGATGTTTTCCAGTATCTGAAGCACCTCTGTGTGTGTGTGTGTGTGTGTGTGTGTGTGTGTGTGTGTGTGTGTGTGTGTGTGTGTGTGTGTGTGTGTGTGTGTGTGTGTGTGTATATAGCACTGCTGGTACACAGTATGATGATTGTGCCAGTAGCTTGTAATATTAAGATGTTAAGTTAACATTGCACATTTGGTAAGCCAGGTCCATGTGTGCTGTATGTAGACAATAAGGGTTCATGATAATGCCTGGAAAATGCCACTACTTAACGCTTCATGGGGAAAATAGCTGCAGAAGAGAATCAAGTTTAGTATTACTTAACCCATTGGATCTGCTCCACTGCCATCACGTGGCCCAAAATATGGACCTTAGATTTATATCAGTGGTTACTGTGACGGGTGTGCTGCCTGTGGTTTAGGCACATGCAAACACTCATGTGCTGTGACAAATCTCCATGCCTCCCCTATGCAATGGTATTTTCTCATGAGCATTTTTAGTTCTTTTGCCATTTTCCAGTGTCTATATTTGTCATTTGATTTGTTTGTCCGGATGGGACTAGACTGTTTTCTTTGCACAGACTCCATATCATCTCTCTAGGTAGTCCATAATGAAGTGTCGTAATCATTACAATAATTAAGTTTTTTTTAATATCCAATTTTCTCCAATACAACTTGTGCTGCCAGTCACAGCAGGCAGGAATAGGATGCTGAGGACAGAAGTGGCATCTTCCCTAGAGCCAGTGCTCTTCAAGTTGTGGCTCATGGAGCATACATTCCTCCACACTCATTTCATCACAATGGAAATATTGCAAAAGCCCTCTCCTAAATGCAAAATAAGAGGTTTATGCATTCATGGAGAGTCATTTCCATCACCCTGGCCATTAGTCAAAATTCTCACAATGGCATAATCATGTCATACTGGCCCACAGGCAAATTTTCCCATGATGGCATGTACCTGTGACCTGCCCCTCAAGCTTTTTTTCATGACATGATGGTCACATTACCCAAATCATAAGGGATAAGAAGACTTAGATAAATTGTGTCTATAGGGTTCACCTTTTCCATTGCCATTAAAATTATTAATCCCCTGGATGAACGCTCAAAAGGAAAACTTATTAAGAGGTTGTCCTTGTATCATGGGTGTGTATGTGATTGGATGAGTGGATGATACAAGTATATATGTAGACATCTCTAATGCACTTCACCTTTGGCAGTGTGTTCGTGACACAGCATGTTCACTAGCTATGAGCGGCTAGAAAAACGTTCGGGCAAGAAGGGCGTCGACCGTCCCGAATACCTCAAGGAGCTTGTACACGAGTTCACCACTTCAGAGCATCTTGGTAAGAGTTGGAAGTTGGTTTTCTTTTTCTGTTGTCATTATCTCCCTTCTGCTACTACTCCACCTCCTCTTCCTCTTCCTCTACCTCTACCTCTTTGTTGTCGTTGTCCTCCTCTTCCTCTTTCTTTCTCTCTCCTACTACTCTTCCTTCTCTTCCTCTTCATCATCCTCTTCTTCCTCTTCTTCCTCTTCTTCCTCTTCTTCTTCCTCCTCCTCCTCCTCCTCCTCCTCCTCCTCCTCCTCCTCCTCCTCCTCCTCCTCCTCCTCACCCCCAAATTCTAGCTTTTTATTGAGAAATGAAATACATGTTCCTCTTTTCCTCCTCCCCTCTATTTCTTTTATATATGTGTATTTTTTTGTATTGTATATTTATATATGTATGTATATATATTTGTATACTATTAAGTAGCTATTTATATACATTCTTATACATGCAAATATATCAACTTTTTCCCCCACCTCTCAGCTTCCAAAGAACAAGTCCTCGCCAATCTTGCGAACTTTGCCTACGACCCAATCAACTACCCTTGGCTGAGGAAGCTGAAGGTGATTGACATCTTCTTGGACCAGCTGACGGAAGGGACAGCCACTCTAAGGGGCTTTGCGGCTGCAGGGTTGTGCAACTTGGCTCTTGGTAAGAATTGGAGTACATGTAGGCCTGGGGTGTGTGTGTATGTGTGTGTGCGTATGTGCGTGCGTGTGCGTATGTGCGTGCGTGTGCGTGCGTGCATGCGTGTGTGCGCGCACCTTTCTGCCTAGCATTTTTAATAATTAGTTTGCTAAAAATGGTATCATGTCTTCATGTGTAAATTAGTGTTTTTGTCAGTAATTATAATTTGATTCATGCTTATTTGAATGTTAGAGAATACATCTTTTATAGTTAATCATGTTGCAAAATAATGGTAATTGTACTAGCTGGTTGAAATATTGTGCTGCACTGCTGTTGCATGAGAAGGATGTCACCCTCCTTCTCTAACCTTTTGATATTTCTCCTCCCCCTCCTCTTCCGTATGTTCATCCTCCTCCTCCTCATATTCATCCTCATCCTCATGTTCCTTTTCCTCCTCCTCTTATTCATCCTCATGTTCCTTTTCCTCCTCATATTCATCCTCATCCTCATGTTCCTTTTCCTCCTCATATTCATCCTCATCCTCATGTTCCTTTTCCTCCTCCTCCTCCTCTACCTCCTCTACCTTCTCTTCCTCCTCCTTCCTCTTCTTCCTATTTCTCTTCTTCCTCCTTCCTTTTCTTCTTTTTCATCCTTCCTATTCCTCCTCCCTCCCTCCCTCCCCCCTGTTCCTCCTCCTCCCCCACCCCTATTCCTCCTCCTCCCTCCCTCCCTTCTGTTCCTCTTCTTCCTCCTCCTCCCTCCCTCCCTCCCCCCTGTTCCTCCTCCTCCCTCCCTCCCTCCTGTTCCTCTTCTTCCTCCTCCTCCCCCTCCCCCCTTGTTCCTCCTCCTTCCTCCTCCACCTACTCCTCCTCTTCCTCATGTTTTTTTCCTCCTCCTCCTCCTCCTCCTCACACACAGTTTTTTCCCCTTTTTTTATACTTGATCATTTGTGTCACAGATCAGGAAAACAAGGCCTACATTCTCCGGCAAGGAGGGGTTGCTTTGCTGGCTGGTTGTCTGTTGTCGCAGCACGAGTCAGTCGTCCTCTCGGCCATTACAACACTTATGTTCCTTGTCACACCAGAATCCAAGAAAGGTCTGTGAAGAGAAAAAAATGGAAAAATGAAAAGGTTATTTATTTATTATATATATATATATATATATATTTTTTTTTTTTTTCTTTCCTTTTTTTCCTTTTTTTTTTTTTTTTTTTCTTTTTTTGTATAACCTTGTCATATAAAGGGGGGGGGAAATGATTAGTAGATATATGATGATAGTTTTGATTACAGCTATTAAAATTGAAGCAAAACTTTTTTTCATGTGACATAATACACAATAGTAGATTATTCAGCCATTTCATTTAATTTATCCTATGTTTACAGATATCGCCTCTGATAAAGTAATTGAGCAGATACTTGGGAAGGCTGAGAGTGACAACCCCAGGATCAGAAACTTGGCAAAGGTTTTTCTTGAGGATTATTGCACTCCAGAGCAAGTGCAGAGTGTGAAGGCATTGCAGGTCACACAGCACAACTAAGACTTACACATATTGCATCACTTGAATGTAAAAAACTATTGAAGAGGGAGAGTGTAAAAGTAATTCCATTTAACTTCATGCAAAATCATCTGCAAGTTCGATGCCTTTGCTTTTTGGTGTTCCACGTAGTATAGTGAACTGTTCAGTTGGAAATGTAATCAAGGGTTTCAGAAGATGCTTGGCACTGAAAGCGGGGGATAATGCCACACTGACGAAGAAGATAACGAAGGAGGACGTGACGCAGTTTGGACACCTCACGGGCGACACCAACCCCATCCACGTGGATGACCTGTACGTGAGGGAAAACACCAAGTTCGAGCGTTGTGTGGTTCACGGTGCCTTTCTCAACAGCCTGGTCTCTTCAGTCATAGGCACACAGCTGCCAGGCCCGGGAACGATTGTTGTCAAGCAAGAGCTGAACTTCCCGTCCCCTTGCTACGTGGGGGAGGAGGTCGAGGTGTCTGTCAAGGTGAAGGACGTCAGGAAAATCATCACTGTCGAGTTTTCGTGCCGTTCCAACTCTGGCAACGTTGTGTTGTGGGGAATTGCAAAACTTGTGCATCAGCCGCTGTCAACCAAGTGAAGGGCCCGTTGAAAGGTTATTCATGATGTGATCTTGAGAATGTAGGAAAAAGAAAGAGAGAGGAAAAGATCAACAAAAGGGATACAAGCAAGTGACACATTAAAAAAAAAAAAAAACAGAACTAAAGAACAATCCTCGAGCATTATGAGTGGGGGAAAGGAACTGGTGCTAGACACCCTGAGAAGGGCAACAAGTCAGGACGCTGCAACCCTCAAACCGGCCGAACAGCAGCTGCAGGAATGGGAGACGGAGCCTGGGTTTTATTCAACTTTAGTCGAGGTGAGTGTTTTTGTCTTCTTGATTATCCATATTGACACTCAAACTGATTCACCTGAGGATTGCAAGGGGGGACCATTAACTTCAGTTTACTTGGTTTGTGTTAAATGTAGAAACAAAAAAGTTAGACATTATTTTTTAAGACCTTTTAGGACTGAAAGAAATTAAGCTAGAAATTGGTCATTATTTTGGCCATTATAAAGCCCTGCCAAAAGTATTGTATTCCACACTCAGACAATAGCGATAATGAAATTAGATGAAAGCCCAGTTGATCTATAACTACTCTAGATCATTGCATCTGTGGACAACAAAGAGTATTTTTGTCCATATTTAAGGAAAATAGTAAAATGTAGGAAATTCAATAATCAGTTAGCTATAGGCAATTATAATAGGAGGGACAAGTTCAGATGATAACATGGTATTTGTGATGGTGACAGGTTTGTGTAGTTTGTATAGAATGCAAATTAATGATAATGTATACTGGTTTGAAAATGTCTAACACCATGATATATAAGACGTGATAATAGTTGACAATAAGTATGATAGATACAGAAATGGTATTATTGATGCAAAAAGTAGGAGGGATGTATAAACTGTGGATCAGAACATAGACCAGTTAGGCAAAAAATGAAAATCAAGATTTTTTAAAAATTGCAAAACCAAAAGGGATTAGAAATAACATGAAGTGCAATTTCAGGAAGACAATTCAATATATTTCATGAAATTTATTATATGAATTTAAATGGAAGTAGTTCACTCCTGCCAAAATAATGAAAACCTTTAAATAAAAAAATGCTACAACAGCTGTCAGTAAATGTGTTGATTAGCTGAAGAAAACAACAAGCTGCACAGGATTTCCTGTGAGAATATATCTCACCATTTAATATCAAAAGTGGGTATATATATATCTTTTTATCTGCCAGATTAGATTTCATTGTATTTCTCTCTTTGGCATCACTGTTAGGCCAGAAATTGGAATTGATATTTTCTACTTCTGGGTTACTCGTTCGTTGTGAAATTCATCTGGATCTTCTTCTGTAAAGCGACATTTGATTTAATTTGTGAAAAAATGAGAGAAATTAGTTTGAGTAAAAAAAAAAAAGAGAGAGAAAACAAAAATTATAAAAAGAAGCATAAGCCTTTTCAAAAGGTTGATAGTGGGGGGTGGGGGGGAGAAAAAGAAAAAAAACAACAGAATTTCCTCTCTTGTTCTCTGGTACATTTGGCTTTTTGAACATTTTTGTCTCGGATTTTTTAACCTTTTGTAGTCATGCATAAAAGTATAATTTAAGACTGTCTTTTGTACAAAGAGTATACAAGAGATAGTTAATAAGACTGTTCTAAATAATTTGCTCTCAGTGTAAATTTGTATGATGTCATTAACCTATTAGAGTAAATAACAGTTATTCTTGTACAGTACATTCAGTGTTATTAACCTATTAGGGTAAATGATAGTCATTCTTGCCATGATGAAATGACAGGTGGCAAGGATCCATGCTATATGCACTTAAGCCTGCTGTTTGTGTATTAAACCATTTCTGTATTCTGTATTGTTTAGTCTTGCCTGTAATCATCAAGTGGTACACCCTTGCATAAGTCGCAAAATATCATTTAGCTTCTTGTTTATTTTCCCTTAAAAAGAAATTTGCATGATGCAGTTGGATGGTAATGCTGTTGCACGAGTAGAGAAAGGACTTGGATCTTTTAAGACTCTGTTTCCCTTTGCAGATCTTCTCGGAACACAGCTTAGAAGTGAATGTCCGATGGCTAGCTGTGTTGTACTTCAAGAATGGCGTTGATAGGTATTGGAGGAAAACTGCTCCCAAAGCAATTAGTGAAGAAGAAAAGGTAGGGATGCATTCAACTACAATAGAATAATAATTTATGGTTCAGTCTTTGGATCTGAATGGCCAAGAGCAGTGTGTTTTCTGTCTACGTGTAAATATATTTTAACTGAATGTTTACTTATAAAACTGTTTGTACTTTACGTCTATTATGCACTTTCAAATTGTATTCCAGGCTCGCATAAGATGTGGGCTTTTACACAACCTCCGCGAACCTGTTCCGCAAGTTGCCACGCAGCTGGCAGTTCTCATAGCCAAGATTGCTAGGGTGGACTGTCCGAGAGAGTGGCCAGACCTGCTTCCTGCACTCTTTGAAGCGGTTAAAAGTTCTGACCAGTTGGTGCAGCACAGAACGCTTCTCACCCTGCATCATGTTATTAAGCAACTCGCATCCAAAAGGCTAGCAGCTGATAGAAGGACGTTTCAGGTGAGTGGGGACCTTGTGTGAATTTTAATTGATATATAAATTGTACTTGGTTTGTTTCCATTTGCATGTGAAGACATTCTCATGACAATTGTTGCACTTCACAGGAGCTGACAAGCCAGATGTTTACATTCCTGCTAGAGTTATGGAGATCAGAGACAGAGGCTTTCCTTGTGGCTTCTGGGCAGAACAATGAGGTTATGGTCCCCTGCTTGGAGCGCTCACACCTAGCTCTGAAAATTCTTCGAAAATTACTTATCCACGGGTTTAAGAAGCCTCACGAGAATCAGGACGCAACCATGTTTGTGGAGGCAGTATTTGATCGTATCAAAGTGATGCTTGACTTTAGGAAACAGCACGAAAATAATGAACATATAAAGACTATTGGGGGGAAGTACGTCGTTCTCCTAACCAAAGTGTTGTTGGATATGCTAGAAAATTACCCATTTTCCTATCTCCAGTTCATAAAGCCCAGTTTAGACCTGACAACGTATTATGTGTTCACACCAGCCGGGGAGGGACTGATTTTTGAGCGATTTACAGTCCAGTGCCTGAACCTGATCAAGACCATCCTGCTGTGCCCAGAGTACAAGCCATGCAAGGTCATTGAAGACACCAAGGACCCACAGACACTGGAGGCATTCAGGATCAAGTCTGAGTTCTTCACCAACACTGTGCTGGCAGAGATGTGCCACAAGCTTATCTCTCACTACTTCCTTCTGACGCAGGATGACCTGGAGGCCTGGGATTCCGACCCCGAGGGCTTCTGTATGGAGGTGGAGGGAGGGGAGTCCTGGAAGTATAGCCTGAGGCCCTGCACAGAGACCTTGTTTGTGTCCTTGTTCCATGAGTATAGAAGCGCACTCACGGCTGTGCTGATGGACATGGTTCGGTCTTCCCACAAGCCCGTCGAGCCGAGCGACTACCACGGGATCCTCCAGAAGGATGCTGTGTATAACGCAGTGGGCCTGGCGGCTTTTGAGCTGTTTGATGACATCGACTTCGACCAATGGTTCACCTCTTCCCTCATCAACGAACTCAAGGTCAAGGACTCTAACTACCGCATCATCCGGCGCCGTGTCATCTGGCTCATTGGCCAGTGGACCAGTGTCAAGTTCTCACCTGAGCACCGGCCCACTTTGTATGAGGCCTGCATCCACCTGCTGTCATCTGAGGAAGACTTTGTGGTCCGCCTCAGCGCAGCCATGACTCTGAAGCATTCTGTCGACGACTTTGAGTTTGACCCTGAAAAGTTCATGCCATACCTCCCAACCATTTTTGGGCTCTTGTTCAACCTTCTCAAAGAGGCACATGAATGTGATACCAAAATGCAGGTCAGAATATAGATACTGGTATAGGTATCGATATAATATTGATGTCATACCTGATATATGTTAAATTTCTCTGTAGGTAACATTTTATTTGTTTTTTGTTCATTTTCCTGTATTTTCCTTTGACAGTGTCATGAAATTAAGCATTTTATTAATCCATAATTCTTTGTATTTCAGGTTCTTCATGTCATGTCCTTCATGATTGAGGTGGTTGGGGTTGGCATCCAGCCACACGCGGCCCCCTTAGCCCAGTACCTCCCAGGGCTTTGGGATGAATCTGCTGACCACAACATGCTTCGATGTGCCATTCTCACCACGCTTGTACATATGGTTACTGGATTAATGGTTGGTGTTTTCTTCTTGTGTACCTTGTTTTTACTCTGAGCATTTGTGGGTGAAATGGGGCTTGTTTTCAGGGAGCTAGGAAGATACGTGGTTGATATTTGTTAAGTGTCACCATTTTTCACATTATTTCAGTCTTTAGTTGTTTGATTGTAAGTCAGTTGCCAGATTTCATGCAGTTTGGCCCAAAGAAGCTACCTATTGATATTGTAATTTTTGTAATCTGTTCAGCGTGAAAGTGAAGGCCTGCATGAATTCCTGATCAACATCATTCGCATATCGACTGATGTCCGGGAAGACTGCCACGTGTACTTGCTTGAGGATGGTCTATTGCTGTGGCTGACCACCCTTGAGAACACAGCAACACCTCATGATGCCCTTCTTCAGCTGTTCGACAACATGCTACCTCTTATGGAGATTTCGTCTGAGAACTTGAGACTTTGCTTGCAGATCACTACAGCTTACACACTACTCTGCCCTCAGCAGTTCCTCTCAAAGTAAGTTTATCTGTATATTAATATTTTGTGGACTTTATATCTCTGTACATTTGCATATTAGATAAAAGAAGTCTGTGCACTAGTGATTAGATACAAAATGCATATAACATTACTCTTGCCGTGGCTTACTGGCAAAATATAGGTGATTTTTTTTTTCAAGATTTACAATGCAGATCATTAATGAGATGAAGTGAAAGTGGTGTACTTAAAAGGAATGTTCCTGTTGCTAGGTATGGCTCCCGCCTAATTGAAAGCTTCAGTTCAATGCTGACGGACATGAAGAGCGAAGGCACCGTCCTGGTCCTGCGATCGGTGGAGATGATCATGCGTGTCCTGCCAGT